TTATATATATATAGTATATATATATATATATATATAGTATATTATATATATATATATATATATATATATATTGAAGTACACCATCTGTATAAGTTCGTGTATACCTCTGCTTGCGGGTAGGTATCAGTATGCAGATATACTTGTTTACAGTTGTAGTCGCCCACGCTAGTGCATACCATGATTAGTCATTGGCTATATTTGTAGTTTGTACGACACACATCAAGTGACATATCTACAGCAAAAAGCAATTATATCAAAATATGTTTAGGGCGAGGTATGTGTGTCCATGTCCTCGCATTAGAGCTATGTGATCAATGGTGAGTGATGTACATACAGATGTCTCCGTGCTAAAAGGTTAAAAGTTTACAAATGGCATACCATCGCAGCAGTATAATTGTCAGGTATTGTCACAATATAGCTCTGTTTCAATCGATTAGCAATGATTTCAAAACACTTACATGTGTATGGGCGTGTACATATCGTTTCTTCGTACATCTATGATGCGAACCTTGCAAATGCATGCGTGTATTATTGTGTATACGTCTACGCATATATATAAATATATTTATGTGCATACACACACACCCATTGATATATATATATTTGTATGTATGTACATGCACATTTATGTTTATTTAGATGTATAAAACAGGTATTTGCCAAGCGCTTCGTTACATTCCACCGATGCGAGTCGACAACATACCATTGCCTTTCATTCTGCCATACAGCCGGCGAGTGATCGTGCGATCACCCGCAACGGAAACGCCCCTAACAACACCCAACAGAATAACGGATTCAACTATTCTATTAATAGCTCTAACAAGAGTAAATCTATTAATAGAATAAATATTAGCGCACAACTCGGTCTTAATGGTGTTGGCGAGAGGGGTGGTGTTATAGAAGACAATCCGAAGCCCATGACGCGAATACGAGTGGATGGCGTGCTGGTAATGGCCAAGGACAAGGTAGGTGTAATCTAAAACTCGGCATTGTGTAGGTAGATTTCCGCCATCTTTTCATGATGTATATATACATATATATATATATATATATATAATATGAATGTATATGTATGTATATATATATATATATATATCATTTGTACAAGACTCACAATCCTACATACATATTTTTGGTACACAATGAAACACTCATGTGGATGTATGTATATGTGAGTATATGTATGTGTATACTTCTATATATATATATATGTATATATATATATACATATATATACATGTAATTCCTCTTATCATACTTATACATTCATCTCGCATGTTCACAGCCGCTTCGTCTGATGGATGCAGAACGGGCAATGAGAGAACTGGGAGTGCCCTCCCATGAGCTTGGCTTTGAGTGCAGATGGCCTCTCAGAGACCACTCCGCCAATGCACAGAAAAGTATAACAGACACCCAGGAACAGGCTGAGAATAGACCCCCACACATGGGAACCAGCCCCGAGAGGCACGTGAAACGGGAGCATGCAGATACACCCTTGGGTGTTGCCATGGATACCGACCCAGACACCGACCAGCCCGGACACATCTCCGGTGAGCAAGTCGATACCACGGATAGCACATACGACAGGATAGGGGCCCTTGGGCTTCGAGACGGGAGTCAAGTGGGGGGTCTACAAGAAGCGGGTGTGGCTGTAGGGGACGGGCTGAGTACTGCAAGTTCGGTGCTTCCCAATACAGCCAATGGAACGGTTACAGAAAGCGAGGGGAGGGGTGTGATTGGAGAGGCAATGCGTGTGCTCAGACAGTATGTGCACGTGGGAGTTCTGTTTATATCCGTACGGAAACTTTTCTTGGTGAATCTATTGGCCTGTTGAATCCTATATAATTGTTCAAAACTCTTTTATATTTCAAATTTTGCAAAAAAAAAATGATTTAGCTCCGTGGGTGGCTGTAGGGTGTGTTATGGTGTTCGCATGCTCTGTTTGTTTGGTAGTCGTCCGTATGTCGACTGTGGGTATGGGTTGTACATATATATATATATCTCGTATACGGTATGGGTTGTACGTATATATATATATATAGTATATAGTCGTCGGTAGACGCCCTACCATACTCGATTCATCATACTAATATGCCTAACCTGCAATAGTGTGCCCTTCACTTGTGTTCTTCTTAACCTGAAGTGGTTCAGGTGTTATATGCGTTCTGGTGACTACCTTATCATCTCACCCCTATCTGTAGAACGCTCCCCGTGGGACTACACAGTCGCCTGCGATTAATCAATGACACGATACACTACGAATCCATGACCCTGTCCCTGGATGAGAGCATCAATCAGTTGGTCGTGTGCTGGGCTTATAAGGTATGTGCGAGAACAGATAACTAGCTTATAAGGTGTGTGCGAGAACAGAAAGCTAACTTATAAGGTGTCTGCGAGGACACATAACTACGTCTGCCTGAGGTGTAACTTTTTTCGGCCTTCGTTACTGTATTTGTTCGTGGGCATGCCTTGGACCTATAATGTATCTATAGGGTCTGAACTCTAAACCTTTTTTGTCCTGACCATAGCAACCCATAGTGGTAATGTACCGAACATCCCTTTCATGTTTTCAGGATGATACAGTCGTGGAGCATCTGCTGCCGCAGGTCCGGCAGAGTCTTGCGCAATATATTGTAGTACAGTCATAGCAAGGCTGTATCTTGAAATAAATAAAGGCATCGACTACATATAGCTACGGAATTCAACCAAGCAAGAGTTGACTATAACAATGCAATTGAAATAAACAAAGCACGTGTTGCACATGACTGACTGTGGTAATGGATAGGGTGCCATGCCTATACCACGGAGGCCCATGCCCATCAGACACCCCTACAACCGCTCGTACTTGTGTATCAGATCTAACTAACTACGAACGGATAGACTCAGTTGTTTAAGACCGAATGATTCGAGAGAAGTACATATCAGTCGCGCTTACCTATCAACTGCAACACAGTCTCATCAATACTCGAGACTTACAGCCAAATCCTTAAATGGGTTTGAGCAGCCAAATCCACTAATAGGTTTGAACAGCCAAATCCTTTGATGGGTTTGAACAGCCAAATCCTTTAATGGGGTTGAACAGCCAAATCCATTAATGGGTTTGAGCAGCCAAATCCTTTAATGGGTTTGAGCAGCCAAATCCTTTAATGGGTTCGAGCAGCCGAATCCTTTAATGGGTTTGAACAGCCTAATCATTTAATGGGGTTGATCAGCCAAATCTTTTAATGCGTTTGCACAGCCAAATACTTTAATGGGTTTGAACAGCCAAATCCTTTATTGGGTTTGAACAACCAAATCCTTTAATGGGTTTGGACAGCCTAATCCTTTAATGGGGTTGAGTAGCCAATTCGTTCAATGGGTTTGAACAGCATAATCCTTTAGTGGGTTTGGGCA